CTCTTGTCTTTCTTTCCCTCGATGTTGGACAGTTTCAAATACCGTTGCACTCAGAATTCAATTTGCAACTCTTCCATAGGGATACCTTCAGGGATACTGGCTGGTAGCTGCACCCCTGAGCCTTCTTGCTGGGATGCTTCTTCTAGTCCTTTCTTGGGATCTGAATTTTACCCTTGACCTCTGTTTTTTGTTCACTAAATGGTTCACTGAAGTGGGGTCCTAGAGAGATTTTTCAGCTTTCACTTATTTCTCAGTTGCCTTTGAAGAAATATCTGGAATCGATCAAGAAAGCACACTTGTCATAAATCAGCAACTTTTTAAATGCATTTTTTTCTTCTAAATAGACTTTTTTAGAAAAGTAAAATTAAGTGGAGAGTTAAAATTAATTGAGCTCCTGTTACCTCCTCCCCTCACACAGCCTCCCCACCATCAACATCCTCCACAAAGCACAGCATTTGTGACAATCAATGAGGCTTAGTAGACATCCTTGTCACCAGATTCCATCATTTACATTCGGGTTCACTTTGCGTGTAATTCTATAGGTTTGAACAAGTACAATGATGTCTATCCACCATTACAGCATCATGCAGAGTGGTTTCATGGCCCTAAAAATCCTCTGTGTTTCACCTGTTCATCCCTCCCTCCCAGCTAACCCCTGACAACCACTGGTCCTTTTACTGATGCCATAATTTAGCCTGTTCCAGAATCACACAAGTAAGTACGCTTTTCAGGTTGACTTCTTTCCTTTAAGAACATGCATTTGTCCCGGCGCGGTGTCTCAAGCTTGTAATCCCAGCACTTTGGGAGGCCGAGGCGGGTGGATGACGAGAGATTGAGACCATCCTGGTCAACATGGTGAAACCCCGTCTCCACTAAAAATACAAAAAATTAGCTGGGCACGGTGGTGCGTGCCTGTAATCCCAGCTACTCGGGAGGCTGAGGCAGGAGAATTGCCTGAACCCAGGAGGCAGAGGTTGCGGTGAGCCGAGATCGCGCCATTGCACTCCAGCCTGGGTAACAAGAGTGAAACTCCATTCACTCTTGTTCAACAGTTAAGTTTAAATATAGGGAATTGGGCACTGTGTTGAATGTCTCATTATTAGCACATAAGTGATCTTAAATAAATGTCGAGTGCATTAGACACTGTTTTTTTTTTTTTTTTTTGAGACGGAGTTTTGCTGTTGTTACCCAGACTGGAGTGCAATGGCACAATCTCAGCTCACTGCAACCTCCGACTTCCGGGTTCAAGCAATTCTCCTGCCTCAGCCTCCCGAGTAGCTGGGACTACAGGAGCGCACCACCATGCCCAGCTAATTTTTGTATTTTTAGTAGAGACAGGGTTTCACCATGTTGACCAGGATGGTCTTGATCTCTTGACCTCGTGATCCATCCACCTCGGCCTCCCAAACTGCTGGGATTACAGGCTTGAGCCACCACGCCTGGCCAACACACCTTTAATGGTTTAAAATGGTATTTCAATTTTTCCTTCAGTTTGTATGCTCTGCCAGCTGTATGCTTCCTCTGCACGTTTCCAAAGTGAAGAAAACGAAAAAATCTTTTTTTCTAATACTGTATTAATAGAGAAATCTATATTTTTGGATTAATATTCTTTAATAAGAAGCTAACTCAATAGGTTGCTCTCTAATTGATTACAATTCCCACTGGAACACTTCCCCAGGTTGACGGAAGGTCCAGGTGTTTTTCTTATTCTTCCTTCCATCCTCTATTCAGTTTCAGTTGAGAATCTAGCAAACTAAGATTACATTGACCACTCGATTTTAGGCAGAAAGGGATTGCATTGGTTAGTTCAACTGCCTCCTTTTCAAAGAAACTAAAGCCCACGGACCGATTTACCAAAGTGGGTGTATTTTTCTTATCTGCGCTGTCCTGTTGTTCAAGATCCGGGACTAGTCATAAAGCAAATGGTAGCTGATGGGAATTTCTGGAATGGGTTTAGGTGTGAGGAAGACAAAGGTCTAGTGGCAAGGTCAGCTCTGGAGGTAGGTTACTTGGATTCCAATCTACTTAGTTGTGTGTTCTTGGGCAAATTACATAACTTTTCCGTGCCTCATTTTATTTGAAAGATGGTGTATATGGTGAGGATTATTGAGTATTCTACCAAAAGTATTAAAACATTTGGTTAAACTACCAGAAAACACTATTTTTACCTGAATCACAAACTGTCAAACCCTTAAGTCTTGAGCTCCCAAGGGGAATTAGGAACCCTCCTGTGGCGTTCCTCTTCTAAAAGTCTGCTGAACGAAAGTTGATGTTGCATTTTCTTTCCTTCTTTTTTTTTGAGACAGAGTTTCGCTGTTGTTACCCAGACTGGAGAGCAATGGCACGATCTCGGCTCACTGCAACCTCTGCCTCCTGGGTTCAAGCAATTCTCCTGCCTCAGCCTCCTGAGTAGCTGGGACTACAGGCGTGCACCACCATGCCTAGCTAATTTTTGTATTTTTAGTAGAGACGGGGTTTCACCTTGACCAGGATGGTCTCGATCTCTTGACCTCGTGATCCACCCGCCTCAGCCTCCCAAAGTGCTGGGATTACAGGCTTGAGCCACCGCGCCCGGCTTCATGTTGCATTTTCAAAGAGCTCAAATGGATTACTTTTATGAAGTTTGGGGCAAATGAATTACACATATATATGACCCTCCCTCAACACCCAGAAGGTATGTGGACACGCTGAATTCAAAAGTCTGAGGGTGACTGTGCTCAGGAGGTGAAGGGATGCTTAGAACCCACCTCTTTGAGGAGGAAGGCAGGACGTTCAATAAGATCCGCTGGCGACCAAAGAACTAAACTTTAACGCAACAAAGGTAAGTCGGTCTCCCTGAGACCACAGGCGTCCAACCCAGGAACACCTCGCTCCGCCTGGAAGGCCCAGGTGCAGCTGGAGGGGGACTGAAAGGGTCAGACCACCGGATTGTTCTCAACTTTGGGCTTTTATACAGCAGTTTCGAAGACAAAGGGGCTTTTCAGCTAGGTTTGGTTCACCATCCCCCTCCTCCCAGGCCCAAGCTTGGTCCCCAATGTCCCCAGCAGTGCTTGAGATGTCCCTCACTTCCCTCCTTTTTGGGGGTGGGGGCAGTGCCCACTCCTAGGTTGCCTGCTGTCCTTCCTAGAGAGAGGTGGATGGCCGTGACATTCCAGGGAGAACAAAGGGAGGGGTAAGGGGGCAAAGACGCCCTTCTAAAGTTTCACCCCGGAAAGGCATCCCACTCCGCCCGCGAGGTGCCCTCAGAGCTACAGCCTTCGCGCGAGCCTCCTCCCTTCTCCCATCACCTCGGCACGAGGGAGGGGAGCTGTGCGGCCGACGCTCTCTGATTGGCTGCCGCCTCAGGGTTACGCGCCGCGATTGTGCCGTGGGCGGCCGTCGGCGCCTGCGGTGCGCAAGGTGGGGAACCGGCTTTGGGAGTTGCTGGAAGTCGGAGGCGGGGGAGCGGTCACTGGCAGTGAGCGCGGGCGGCGGCTGGACGCAAAGTAGAGAGCAGTCCCTCGTTTAAGCCTTTCCGTCGTCCTCCGGCACCGCCAGTACCACGGACTCCACCCTGCCAGGGCCCCTCGGCGATGCGGTGCAGCTGCCACTAGACCAGGTGGGTTCAGGTACCGCGAGGCACCCAGGCGTCGGGCACGCGCCCTCGCTGCCCTTTGCGGCGGTGGTGCCGCCAGACCGGGGGGCCTGGGATAGGGGTGGGGACTGGGGCCTGCCCCTGCTGGAAGGGAGGGGAAGACAAGCCTGTCCCGGTGACCTCTCGCTGCCGCCGGTCTCCTCCCTGCCTCCGCGGCGTGCGCCCCAGACTCCCATCCACCGCCCAGGCCCGGGGTGGTCGCGTCGGCCGGCGACAGCCCCGGGGAGGGTCTTCATGTAGATTTGAGGGTGTGCGTGCTGGTTCCTGCCCTCTGCCGCAGCGGGGCTGGGACTCAGCCGTTCGGTCCCTTCGGGTGCACAGGCTGGGATGTAGACGGAGTGGAAGGCTGTGCTGCGGGGAGGCCGGCGTGGTGGTGCCTGCCCGGCGGGTGCTCTGAACGACCCCCGGAAAGGCTGAGGCGTGGGTCTAGGTGTGAACGGTGCATTAGAGATGGCGTCAATGGGTGCGAGGGGCACAGAGAAGCTTAAGTGCTACTGCACTTTGGGGAGAGTTTACATTGTAGTGTGGTTTAAGGGAGACAGAGGCAACAGTTTCCGGGAATGCTGAGGTTATGAAGAAAAGTGAGAGGGAGTTATCCCCAGGATTCTAGCTGAGAAAGTTGCAGGCTTGTAGATAGAAGCAGCCACCCTTACCTCTTGGCCCAACCCTCAAAAAAGCACTTGGCAGTGTTCAGGGAAGGGTGGCATTTAAATGAGGCCAATTGAGTTTGATGGTTAAAGGACCTAAGGATTACTGAGAAATCAACAATAATGTGACTGGAAAAGCAGCGCCATTTTTATTCATCAAAGAAAGCTTGGAAGTATTTTGTTGGGAGAATTCAGCATAAGATTTAAGGAAGTCGTTGATGCCGGGTGTGGGAGGTAGTTAGGTGATTGTTCTAGCCCCAAACTAAAGGTAGTTGACTTTGGAAATTTCGCTTACAATTGTTTGTAGCGTGCTTAACCTAGAAGTAAGTGTCTGCACTTTACAAGGGATACTGGTTCACTGTCCTTAGCTGGAATGTGCACATGTTGTTCAGTCTTGGGGGATTTCATTTATAATACAGGTTCTCTCTTATCCAGACTGCTTTTCCTAGCAGCAAGCTGGAAACCTGACATTAGGGTACAGGATGCCTTGCGCTTTACTCTTTTAAATAAACTTATGTGGAATGAGTGTCAAATACAAAATAATTAAATAGAAAAAAATAAATAATTCTGCCTTCTGTTGAAATCTCTTATTGCGGTCATGCCCACCTATCTTTAACAGCAGTTATAATGTGTATCCTGTGAATAAAGTATTGGTAGTGAAATTAATTGTGTATTTGAAGAAAATACTGTTCTCTGTTTATTAATAAATTGAACAGAATTTAGTGTTTTTCATCTTCTCAGCCCTATGGAAGATCATCGCTGTTTTCCACCCTGACATGCAGTGTAGCATTCACACTCCTGATTTAAACAGGTTGCTGCCAGTGTATCAGCAAATGAAGGGTAGGTGTCTGTAAAAAAATCATATTGCTGATGAGGAGCAAGGGAGATAGCCATATACATTTACATTTCTCTTAGGGAGACCGGCACGTGTTCACATTGTCTCTTTCTCTTCCCCCTTTATTTCCTTTCTCCGAACTCCGTGTCTGCCATAGGCTTACCCCTCCCTCCCATGCCGAAATATTTTCTTTTTTATGCTAATAATACCTTTGTCATAGTAATGAACTTATTTAAACATCTCAGCAACCAGAAAAAGTTCTTTTCAGTACTGAAATAATCAGGAGAATCATGGGAAGGAGACAGGACTTAAAACTTTTTGACATGTCTTTGTTTAGCTGAAGGTCTTGAGTTTGTAGCTTGGGACTGCTATAAATTTGTACAGCCACGTATAGCCCTAATTTGTGTAGTACAGTTATGTACTGCATAGTGCCAGTGAGGTCATCAGAGCTCATATATGATTTTGGTCCCACGGATTATAAGGGAGCTGAAAAATTCCCATTGCCTAGTGAAGCTGTAGTATTCATAATTTCTTAGTTACTCATGTTTTTATGGTGATGCTGTGAGCACTTACTGTGCAGCCAGTCCCTGTAAAAGTGTTGCATATGCAATTATGTACAGTACATAATACTTGATAACATTAAATACATTATTGGTTTGTGTAGTTTCTACCCATTTTATCATTGTTTTAGTGCGTACTTCTGTTGATTAAAAAGAAAAGTTAACTATAGAACAGGCTGAGGCGGGTCTTTCAGGAAATATTCCAGAAGAAGGTACTATCTTAATAGCAGGTGAGAGCTACATGCGTGTTGTTGCCCCTGAAAACCTTTCAGTGCGACAAGATTGGAGGTGGGAGACAGTGATGTGCATGTTCTGGACCCTGTGTAGGCCCAAGCTAGTGGGTGTTTGTGTCTTAGTTTTTAAGAAAAAGCTTTAAAATTAAAAATAGAACAAAGCTTATAGAATTAGGATATAAGGAAAGAATATTTTGTGCAGAGGTACAATGTGTGTTTTAAGTGCAATAATAGAAGAGTTTAAAATTTTGTAAAATAAAAAAAGTTACAGTAAGCCAAGGTTAACTGAAGAAAGAAGACCTTTGCAGTGTAAAGACTTTTTAAAGTCTTTATAAAGTCGATAGTGGTGTAGAGCAATGTCTGAGACCTTAACATTCGTTCACCACCCACTTCCCCACAACTTTTAGTCCTGCAGTCTCCATTCATGGTGAGTGCCCTGTATAGGTATACCATTTTTTATCTTTTATGCTGTATTTTTACAGTAACTTTTCTATGTTTAGATACACATATACTATAATATTCATTACAGTAAGCTGCTATATAGGTCTGTAACCTAGGAGTAATAGACTGTACCATCTAGGTGCACGTATAGTAGGCTAGACTGGCTAGGTTTGTATAAGTCCACTGTGATGTCCACAGTGAATTGCCTAATGATGCATTTTTAAGAATGCACCCCCATTATTAAGCAACACATGAGTATATTTACAGTTGTTTCCTATTTGAGCAAGTCTTGAGAATATTTGATTAATACCACATAAGCCTCAACTTTTCATACTGATAATTGTTTCTTTGAAGCATCTAAGAATTGACTTGCTTGTCGATGAAGTTCTTGAAATAACTAAAAACTCATATTGTAAAATTGGATGAAGAAAATCATTTAGCTATCATTTTTAAATTGAGCATTTTAGAGAACATGGGACATTTTTATAATGTAAATAGTCCAGGTTGAGAAAAAGCTTAGGAATTTGTTGTAATCAAATAGTGTGAGTTGGCAGGAAAAAGGCAAATCAGGAAATGAAAAGTGCAAAAATACAACGTAGAAGTATGTTGATTTGGTGTGTGCAAATTAACAGTGTTTTGAAAAATTAGAAAATTATAGAAGTAGTTGTTTAATGTCAGATGAAGAAAAGGACTTTAGTGTAACAAAAACAGTTAACTTTTTACTAGAGTAAGTATAGAATTTATGAGATGATAGGAATTATTGGTTCACATGGAATGTAAGAACATGCCTTGTGGAGCCAGGTAGCAGAAGGGAGGGAGTGTTTTGCAATAAGGCTGAGGCCAGGGAAGGAAAAGGAGCAAGAGATCTTGCCATTGACTCCTGTGTTGTTTAATCATTACTGAGAATTCCAGAGTCACCTTGAGGTAGCCATAGTATTTGTTCAGTAGGCCTTAAATCTTAGTAAAAGATCTATTATCAAGTGAGGTCACACCATGCTGTAAGATAGAAAGTATCTAGCATCTGAGGTTTGCCTTTGTAGGCCTTGCTTTCCAGATGATTTTATTTCCAGGGTAATTTTTAGTAGGTGATTTTGATTAAAGGAAAATATGGAGAGAAGCGTTTGAGGAAGGAATTGGACTAAGGGAGAGCTGTGCCATGAAAAGGGCCAGATGTGTGATTTAGAAGACATTGTATATCATTGAGCATATTTGTGTTCTTTGTTAGTTTCTGATGTGCTGATGTTCAATTCATCTGTAATTTGAAAAGTAAGGTGGGCTGGGTGAGGTGGCTCACGCCTGTAATCCCAGCACTTTGGGAGGGTGAGGGAGGTGAATTACCTGAGGTCAGGAGTTTAAGATCAGCCTGACCAAAATGGTGAAACCCCGTCTTTACTAGAAATACAAAAATTAGCCGGGCATGGTGGTGCATGCCTGTAATCCCAGCTACTCAGGAGGCTGAGGCAGGAGAATGGCCTGAACCCAGGAGGCAGAGGTTGCAGTAAGCAGATTGCATTCCAGCCTGGGCAACAGGAGTGAAACTCTCTCTCGTGATGGGGAGGGTGGGGAAGTAAGGCAGAATGAGTCAAGTATTTTGTAACATTTTTGCTGTTTGTGAGCAGATTCTTTTTTTTTTATAATGTTAATGTTTGACATTTTTGCATATTCAATTTCATTTGTGTTTGCACTAGTGTATTATGTACGCTAACAGGGAACTGAATTTTTTTCATCTGATTTAGAAAGTAATACATGTTTATGGTATAAAATTTATAAAATAAAAATGTATAACTATGAAAGTTTAAAAATCACTCATTTTTCTTCACTCCAGGGAAAACTTCTGTTAATTTTTTTTAGAATGTGTGTGTATATTGAAACAGAATTAGAGTCACACTGAATATAGAGTTTTTCTAACACAGCCACCATATCATGAGAAATCTCGGGCACATTAAGATGTCTGGTGTTGGTGCTTGAACCTACAGGCCCAGCTAAAGTCTCAGGTGACAGCCAGCATTCACCATCTGACATGGGAGTGAGTGAGTCTTTAGATAATACCAGTCGTTGGCTACTGGCAAATAAAGAAGTAATGAAGTGTCCATGCTGATCCATGTCCAAATTGCAGATTCCAGAGCAAATGAAATGTTAGTGTTTTCAGCCACCAAATTCAAGGGTACTTTTTAGGTCATTAGAGTATTCATTTGGCAATCATATATTTTAAAATAGTTGTAATTGAAGTGTAACATATATAGAGAAATGCATAGGTCTTAAGTGTGCAGTTTAATCAATTTTGACAAATGTGTACATGTATGTAACTCATACTGTGTAACCCTTGTAAAGGTGAACATGGTACACCAGAGTAAACAAGGTGCAAGTATTAGATGATGAGTAAAAGAGATTGGGAAGCCTTTGGTTTAAGAAAAATATGATTACAAGCCATCGAATTTTTAGAAATACATCTTGTGTTTTAGAAGAGTTTTAAATTTACAGAAGTTGTGGAAATTGTAGAGTTTTCAAATAACTTACATCCAGTTTTCATATTGTTAAACTCTTACATCAATGTGGTCATTTGTCACATTTAGTGAAGTAATATTGATACATTATTAATGACTAAATTCTATACATGATTGATTTCTTTAGTTTTTACTTAAGGTTTGTATCAGTCAGCTGCCGTAACAAAATTCCATAGACGGAGTGGATTAAACAAAAGAAATTTGTTTTCACATATCTGGAGGTGGAAAGTCTGAGATTGGGTGCCAGGATGGTTGGGTTCCAGTGAGGAGTCCCTTCCTCACTTGCACATGGCACAGTCCCCTTTCCTAGGTATGTTCTCTCCAGAATAGAGAAAGAACAAGCTCTGTTCTTTCATTTGTCTCTTTATAAGAGCACTAATCCCATCAGACCAGGGCCCTGCCCTCATGACTTCATCTAATGCTGATTACCTTCCAAACGCACTAGCTCCAGATAACTGTTACATTCGAGGTTAAAGCTTTAACATATGAGGATTCTGGGCAGGCCACAAACATTCAGTTTATAACAAGGTCCTTTTTGTGTTCCTGGATCTTATGCAGATTACCATATTACATTTAGTCTTTGTGTCTCCTTAGCTTCCTTTAGACTGTGTCAGTTTCTCAGACTTTCCTTTCTTTTTTGGTGACCTTGTCAGGTTTGAGGACTACTGGTCACATATTTTGTAGAATGTTCCGCAAGTGGGATTTATCAAATGTGTTTCTCATAATACGTCTGGGTTTATGGATGCCTGGGAGGAAGACCGAAAAGATGAAGTGTCCTTTTCATCACATCATACAAAGGAAAGGGTGTGTACTTTTCAATGTGACTGATCACTGTTGATGTTGATTTGGTCACCTGACTGAGTTAGTGAAGCAGGATAATTTCCCTGAACGCTTTGCTGGCGGGAACTGGGGTGGGGGTGCTGGAAGCAGCACTTAGGCACTGGCAGGGGCAGACTCCACTCACTAGAACCTCCTGTGCTCAACTGGTCAGGGAAGGGAACATGCAGGTAAGCGTGTGCAGGAGCTGGGGTGAGTGCTTTTCGGGTGCCAGCAGGAGCAAAACTCTGTGCAGGCCCTGAAGCCCCAGAAGGAGTGTTATAGTCGGTGCTCTTTTAGCCTTGCTGCCCATGAACAGTTTAAGTGTTAACAGCTCAGTGGAAGGTAAGTGTGACAACTTTCGACACCAGCCTGGAAGAGAAATGGCTGTTGGCATATGAGAAGGGGTGGATACAAATGATACTCCTTTCAACTGTGTTAAGTTTCAGATGCTGGCTAGCCTTTGAAGTAGAAATGTGAAGAACATTGAAGATGTGAATCTGAAGTTCAGGGAATAGGGCAGGACTCAAGATTCTATTTGGTGGTTGCACATTTTATCTTTAAAGAATTCCATTGTATTCTTCAGAGTAAGAATCTCATTTGATAGAATAAAGAGCCTATGGTACTTTGAGTAGAATGATAAGAAAAATTTTAATCCAAAAAATTTTTTTTCCTGAAAGCGTTGTGAATAAAAATAAGAGTAAAATATAGGTGATTTTCAGTCAGCCTCAGTGACCTGTCTGTATCTGACCTGAGTCCTAGCTGATGTAGCCAGTTGACAGTAGAAAATTTAGAATTTGATTTGCATGTTTTAAAGCTATTGAGAAGAAGAATTAAGACATTTTAATTTCTCCCCCCACCCCAGAAGGAACCATGTGGGTATATTTTTGAGCCTTACCTTTTTTTTCTTCTTAGCGGGAAACCAGTCTGAAGTGGGAGGCCTCTGAACAAACTGTGTACTGTGTAGCCTCGAGCTTCTGCTTTCTCAGGCAGAACACTGGCCCTCAGTGCCTCTTTCTGCTTCTCCTTGTTCAGACCACTGAGGACTGCCCCTGTCCTGACTGACTCCTCCTGTTGTGGTGAGCAATATAGAAAGGCTGAGGGATTGATATTATTTGGCTCCATATTTTAGAAAGATAATTGGTAATTACATAAAGTTACATCTAGTTTGACCAGTACCACTTATAACTTTAAATTGTTGTACAGAAATTGATCCTTTATTATTTAGAAAATATAATTTAAAGTTAATAATACTGAGAGAATTCATGATTCTTTCCTTTTGCCTTCCCTGTCCTTTAGTTCTTTATTTATTTTCAGAGCTTTTGTACTGGCTCATCTTCCCTTTCCTGGGGAGTTGATTTTAAAAATTAGATTTGGAGGAGTTTATCCTTTTAGAGGATGATGAAAACTACTTGTACTTGAACTTAAGGAATTTTTTTTTTAAGTTCCCTGTGTGCCCTTTTTGGATCACATTTCAGAGAGGAGAGACTTCTGCAATATTGTGTTAACCATTTCCTTTCTTTCTTCAAGTGTTATCCACAAATGTATATATGTATGTGGTAATAAGCATGAAATTTAACCATCTTTAAGTGGGTAGTTCAGTAGTGATGAGTGTATTCACAACATTGGATACTAGATCTCCACATTTTCATCTTACAGAACTGAAACTGTATATTAATTAATCAACTCTCTATTTCCCCCAGGCCCAGCAGCTGGCCTTTTGTTTCTATGAATTCAACTATTCTAGATACTTCATATAAGTGGAAACTTAGAGCATTTGTCTTTTTGTGAGTGGCATATCTGAGGGTTCATCCATGTTGTCACATATGATACATGTTATATGACTCATAAAAGCCAAAATTTCTTTTCTTTTGGAAAGCTGAATAATGTTCCATTTATAAAGTTCTTAATCTTCATGTGGCTGAATTTATAACATTCATATTTGCAGTGTTTTTATACCTAGTTTAGCAAATTCTTCTGTATCCTGAGATCATAAAGATAGACTCCTATATTTTTAAGAAATATTTTTTCTTTGGTTTAAAACAAGATTACATTTACAGGAAGGTTATCAGTACAATTCAGATAACATTTGCTTTTCCCTGAACCATTTGCTAAGAAGTTGCTGACTTGATGACACATTGCTTCCAAATATTTTAGTGTCATTTTCTAAGAAAAGGACATTCTTCTGTGTAATATCAAAATGACCATCAAAATTAGAAAATTAATGCATTTCTATTACCACATCTTCAACTTTATTCAAGCTTTACTGTTTATCTCATCAAATTCTGTTTAACAACAGGATCTAGTTTGGAATTACAGGTTAGGTTGCATTTGGTTCTAAACTCTCCTTAGTCTTCTTACATCTAGACCACTCCCTTTATTGAATTGAGATGTGTTCGTTCCTCTTCTATTTTCTGGGAGGGATTGTATAAAACCATGTTAGTTCTTTCTAAAAAATTTGATAGAATTATTTAGTAAAGCCATCTGAGCCAAGTTTTTTTTTTTGGTGGGGAGGTGGGGGATGGAGTTTGCTCTTGTTGCCCAGGCTGGAGTACAATGGCATGACCTTGGCTCATTGCAGCCTCCACCTCCTGGGTTCAAGGATTCTCCTGCCTCAGACTCCTGAGTAGCTGGGATTACAGGCACCCACTACCACGCCCAGCTAATATTTTGTATTTTGAGTAGAGAAGGGTTTCACTATGTTTGCCAGAGTGGTCTTGAATTCCTGACCTCAGGTGATCCACCTGCCTCGGCCTCCCAAAGTGCTGGAATTACAGGTGTGAGCCACCGCACCTCACTGACCTAGAGATGTTTATGGGATTTTAAATTACAAAGCCAGTTTTCTTAACAGTTACAGGGCTATTTAAACTCATATTGGATGAGTTGTTGTAGTTTGTGTTTTTTCTGGAATTGGTGCATTTCATCTAAAAAATTCCATTTTAGCTAATCTATGTGCAGCTTTATTCTTCTTTACCTTGTATAGACATATTTTCAATGAAAAGATAATACATATATTTATAAAAGTAAGTGCATATTTTATATTTGTATTATGTAATTTTATATCTGTATCATATACTTTGGATCGAGCTCTAGATGTAGCCAAGATCTCAGGGGCAGGCTATATTCAGCATTGATGGGAGACTCAGTGACCTATAAAGTTTGTGTGTCTACACACTTCAGAGTTTGCTCTGCATGAGTCTCTGACCATGCAAATAGCTATGCTGTGGCTATATTGTGCTGACACCTCATTCTATTTCAGTTTTTTTCCATGACTTATTCAAAATAATGTGATACGGTGCAAATCAGCTTTGCTATGGTCCCTGACCTCAGGTTGCTTAGAGTCTCTGTAGGGGTTGCAGAGAAGTAATTAGGAAATCAGTAATCAGTGTGGTCAGTGTTGTGATGAGGAGGCAACAGGTTCTCATGAGAACACAGGGAAGAGGTGTGTTTATTCTCTGCATCTCTGGTACCTAGTGCAGTACCTTGCACATAGTAGGTTCTCATTAAGTCTTTGTTGAATGAACGAATAAACTCAGAACTGGGTGATCACAAGGTCACTTTTGGAGAGGACTTGTGTCTGAGCCAAGTTAATGATATCTATGGGCAGTAGATAAGTGGAGGGAATTCTCTCATGTGGATGCAATAATATGCAGTGTTGTAGAAGGACAGAAAGCTTAGCAATCTGAATAGCTGTCTAAAGCTGTCTATTTGCAAGTGGGGCGTGGTTTCCAAAAGTGATTGCAGACTGAAGGCTAAGAAGAAATAACTGTGACCAAATTATGTGTTGGCCATGGCTAGTTAAGAACCAGAATTGATTTTTATGAATCAGCATTTTTGGTTCTGGCTGTTGTGTTTACCATTACTAGGTTTAGTTTCTAACATGTCTTAAAAATAATGCTCTCCAAATGAATAAGAAGTATTTTTTTGTGAAGCATGGTACAGTTTTCTCTGGCTCTTACCTACTAGTCTTATTCATACTATCTTTGCTTTAAAACAATACTTTTTTATGCTCTAAATATATCTGTGATAAATCATGAGTTTACCACTAATAATGGTGGGTCATATCATTGTGTTTTCATATGCCAGGTACTGTTTTGAGACACTGCCATGAGTTATTTCATTTAATATGGACAGTGGCCTGTCTGTAAGAAAACCAAACCTAGGCCAGGCGCGGTGGCTCACGCCTATAATCCCAGCACTTTGGGAGGCTGAGGCGAGTGGATCACAAGGTCAAGAGATTGAGACTATCCTAGTCAATGAGGTGAAACCCCGTCTCTACTAAAAATACAAAAATTAGCTGGGCATGGTGGTGCGTGCCTGTAGTCCCAGCTACTCAGGAGGCTGAGGCAGGAGAATTGCTTGAACACAGAAGGCAGAGGTTGCAGTAAGCCGAGATCGTGCCTTTGCACTGAAGTCTGGGTAACAACAGTGAAACTCCGTCTCAAAAAACAAAAAAAAAAGAAAAAAAAAACCAAACCTAGGGCTCCCATTTTACAGAAGTGGCAACTAAGATTTGGGGAAGTTAAATTGTGTGTTCCCAAGGTCACTTAGGTAAGCCTGGGACTCACATTTGACTCTAAGTCTGTCTGACTTCATTTAACCACTGAGCTATGTGTGCTCTTTCCAATGTTTCATATGTCTTTTTATTAAACAAAAATGCCCAATATTTAGTTTAACTTGTGTATATATCCTTAGAAAGTTTATCAGTTAAGTAGGGAAAGAGTTTGTAGTGAAGTAACATATTAAGACTCTCCTAAAAGCAAATTACAGAAACCCACTTTAAACTAGCCAGCATGGCTGGACGCAGATGCTCAAACAATAATTACTGAGCCCTTCCTCTCTGTGTCTCCTCCTTTCTCACCTTCCTCTTTCCCCCTCCTTCTTTATCCCACTGCCCCACTCCCTGTCTTATTCTGCTTTTCTTAGAGTGTTAGCCTATTCTCTTTTGTCACAGAAGGAGCCCCAGTTGAAACCAGCTCCACTCGTGATCCTAGGAAGAGAAAGCATCTTCTCTGGGAGCTCTGGCAGAAGTGCCCTGGGGAATACTCTTGGTCATGGGGACTGGGGGCTGTGAGAAGACTTTGCGAACTATATGGAATGTAGCTGTTGGGGTGACATGTCCATACTTCATCTTGATAAGACATATCATTTGATGGTTGAAAGCTATAATTATTTAAAGATAATGCACAATATATTTTAATAGTGTTATCAAGATATAGTTCACATACCATAGGACTCACCCATTTAAAGTGTACAGTTCAACAGTTTTAATATAGTCACAGTTGTACAGCTATCACCACTGTCTAATCTGTAACATTTCCATCACAAAAAGAAATCTTGTACCCATTCACAGTCACTCCCTATTTTCCTCAAATCTCTCAGCCTGAAGCAACCACTCATCTACTTTCTGTCTCTATAGATTTGCCTATTTTAGATGTTTTATTTAAGTGCAATCAGATGACTTGTGGTCTTTTGTGTCTGACTTCTTTCATTAGCATGTTTTCAAGGTTTATCTATCTTTGCATATCATCATACATTTTTTATTAATTGTGAAATGTTATTCCATCATATGGATATACCACATTTTATTTGTCTGCCTGTTGGTGGACATTTGGGTTGTTTTTATGTTTTTTGCAAGTATGAATAATGCTGCTGTGAACATTTGCGTAGAACTTTTGTGTAGATCTGTTTTTACTTCTTCTGTGTGTATACCTAGGAGTGGAATTACTGGTTCATATGATAACTATACCTGACATTTTGAGGAACTGTCTTCCAAAGTGATTCTATTATTTTACATTCTCACCAGCAATGTGTGAGGGTTCCAGTTTCTTTACATTCTTGTCAACCGTTACTATCTTTTTGATTATAGGCATCTTGGTGGGTATGAAGTGATATGATGCATATTTTATAAAAGGCCATTTTGTTTGTTAAATAATGGCCTGTTTACTTGTCATCTTACCTTGTATAGGAGCTTTCCCAGTGGGTTCTGAACCTGCCCCTCCTCAGTCCATCCAGCCAACTAGGTAGGCAGACCTTGCTGATCAAAGGATTAGAAGTATATGTTTATTTTTATTTTTCTTTATAAATTTTATTATTTACAAATCTAGACAGGGATTATTCTTTTTTTTTTTTTTTTAATTTTTTATTGGATTATAGGTTTTGGGGTACATGATCAGAGCATGCAAGACAGTTGCGTAGGTACACACATGGCAGTGTGCTTTGCTTTTCTTCTCCCCTTCACCCACATTTGGCATTTCTCCCCAGGCTATCCCTCCCCACCTCCCCCTCCCACTGGCCCTCCCCTTTTCCCCCCAATAGACCCCAGTGTTTATTCTTATTTTCATATTAAGAAACAGGTTATAAATGCCAGAGGTTACTTGGTTGAAGATGGAACAGGGACTCGTATTTAGGATGTATTAGGTGGTAGAGAGCTGCTAGCTTCAGATCTGCAGTGTCAGTTTACTTTGACATGTTAGGTGGCATTCAGATAACACACATTCCCACTCATGTTTATTGTGTTATATGTAGTTCCCAGCAAACTAGTTGTATCGCTGCTGCTTTTTTCTTAGAAATGTGAGGGCAAGAGTAATGTCCTAAGAATAATCTTGATTATTCATGAATAATTATTCATGAACTTGACTATTTTAATTTTCATTAGTATAAATTACTTGCAGCACACCAAAAACTGAGCTGCTTTTTTTATGATTCATAATGGTTGCTTCTAACTACTTTATTATGGCAACATTCGTTATCAGCCCTGTAGTGCTATTTAACATTCACCTTGGCATCAGTATAAAATTTGATACTCTCATGCACAGACAGATGGTCTTCTGTCAGTGGCTTTCTCCCTAGCCCTAGAGCAGTCTGTGTATCCAGACTCCATGTTGAGTCTTGCCTCCTCAGCACAATGTAAGAGAATCTATGTTGATCACACCTTATGTGAAAATCTATGTTGATCTCTTGCCACCCATTTGCCACATATCACTGTATAACTTGAAAGTCAATAACTTGTGATTTAGAATTGCTGTTGAAATCATGCTTAGTATTTTCACGGCATCAAGCAATAGCAAGAAGAGATTACACATATTAGCAGTATGCTCTAAATGTGGAAGTAATATGGTGAACTCCATAAGATAAAACAGGAGCTTGCAGGTATTTAACAACTCATATTATTTTAAGCTGATAATATGCCAGGAATAGGTGCTGGGGGATACAATGAACAAACTGGATAAATATCTCTGTCCTTATAAAATGTACATTCCAGTGATTAATAATTTACTGTGGGATCATTTATAATGTGTAACAACCAGGTAAAAAATCTATTGTAATTTTTTTGGTAGCAGTGTCTGAAAGCTTTGAAATTCTAAAAAAGAAAAGGAATTAAAAATGTTTAAATTGGTGCATTTAGATAGTATATTATGTGACTATTTGCTAAGTATCCCAAAGGTAAGATATTAGAGATCCCAATTTAATCATTAAAAGTAAATACTTTTTATATTGACCTTATCCTTATCAAAAAGTGTACTATTATGGTGACAGGCCATGCAGTCTCAAAATCAACAACATTCGTAAATTGATAAGTTGATATTATATCAAATAGAAATCCCATGATAATGAGGCACGCCAGTCGTTGAATTTTTCAGTTTTTTAGAAGCATAATTTGAAGACTTGTAAAATTAATAGGACAGTTGAAATTGACCTTTATTTTTAAACGTCAGACTGGTAATGTGCTGACATTGTAAAAAGGTTCACACTCAGGTTTGAGTGTGGAAACCCAATCATCATACTTAGGAATTAAAAAAGAACTAAAATAGACATAAAAAAATGCACATGGGTACTTTTTAACCAGTAGTACCAGGCACCCAGAAATAAATGCTTTCAAGTGAAATAAGAAAAGATCACAGTTCTTATTTGGGCTAGTGCTTCTGATAGGCATAGCAGGAATAAATTAATTAATAAATGAATGAATTAATTAATTTTATTAGCATATATAATAAATAAGTAAAGAACTTTACAAGATAATTTTAGATAGTTATAAGTACCACAACATCAGTAAAATGGGGTCTATGAAAAGTGAATTAAATATTCACTTGAATACCTAATACATTTCTAAACTTATTGTGGCCAAAGGGCTCCTGATTCCTCTCACCACCAGCTTCTCACCAGGGGTTCTTCTGCAGATTGTGAGGTCTGGGAAGCTTTTGAAGATGTTATTTGAGTTGAGATATGAATGGTAAAGTATCTGTGTGCATTCCAGGTATGGAAGTGGGAAAGCGTTGGCTTTGGGGTGGAAATGAGTTTAGTGTCTTTGAGACAGTCAGTATGAAATGTCAAAATGTATACAGAGAAGAAGTAGTGGTAGATGAGGCTAGAGAGGTGGAAAGGGCCTTGATATTTTAGGGCAAAATAAGGAGTTAGGATGTCACTTTAATGATGGCAGCAAGTCTGTAGAGTGTTCTAGGTCTGCGGATTGATGGTCTCATTACTGTGGCTACTGTGTAGTGATGACTGGTAGAGGCAGAAGAGGAAATGGGGACTTTTCAGAGCTGTTTTCTGGGTAAGAAGCCATAGTAGCTGTGTAGATGGAGCCTGGGCCAGCTTTGGCAATCTACTTTGCAGACAGAGCTAAGAACTTAAGTGTGGATTCTATGTGGAAGGCAGGAGATGAGTAGTCAAGAGTTGATTTCTAGGTTTTAGTTGAGAACTGAATGTGTGATGGTTCAATTACTAAGATGGGGAAAATTCGAGAAGTTGGTGGTGAGAGGAATCAGAAGATACCTTTTGGCTACAACTGGTTTTAGATACTTATGAGATAGTGAAGTGAGGTGGTTTAGTCGGCAGTGGAATAAATGTCTGTAGTTCAGTGGGGAGGTCAAGATTAAAATGACAAAGGTAGGTGTCAGCAACATAGAGCTGACTTCAAAGCCATGAGACTGGATGAACTCCCTGCAAGGGGAGGGGCTAAGTTTACTTCCTTAAATTGAGAAAGTTGGACAGGATGGTGTTTAAGATCCCATCTTTTCCAAAAAGTTAAATATTTATTGAATTTCAGAGAGTCTCTGTAAGAAACTTGAAGCGATGGAATTCTTTTGTAAAATGCTTCCTTTAAATAATGAGAAGGATGAACGGGAAGAAATACAAATATTTAAGTATTTGAAATCTGTATTTATTCTGAAATTGCTTGTCCACAAAGCATGATATGTAACTGAAATCAGATATCCTTCTGAAAGTGAAAATAATCTCCTTCATTTTGTAAGGTTTCAGTTAAACTGATTGGTGGTCAATGTGAACTCTTTTTATCAAAAAATTTTAACAGCTTTATTGAGTAGTCAAGTGACACCCAAGCTGCACATATTAGAAGTGTAAAGTTAGATGTTTTCACATAGGTATTCAGGCATAGAGCTGTCACCACTAGAGATAATAGATGTACTTGTCATCCCAACAGTTTCATTGTACCCTTCAGTGCTGTCTCCTTCCTGCCTCTGATCCACAGGGAACCACTGATAAGCTTTTTGTAACTGTAGATTAGTTTTTGTTTTCTAACTTATATAAATAGAATCATACAGTAGGTATTTATTCTTTTTTCTGGCTTTTTTCATTCAACGTGATTATTTTGAGATTCATCCATGGTGTTTTTTGTGTCAGTAGTTTTTTTCCTTCTATTTGCTAAGTAATATCCTATCATATGGATATACCAGACACATTTTTGCAGTCATAATGAAGTTAGACTACCTTCTTTTTCCCTTCAGTGGGTCTCTGGGTTTGCTGGTATTATTTGTAACCCTGAAAATTTGCGACAAGTCTCAGTTAATTTAGAAAGTTTATTTTGCCAAGTTTGAGGATGCACACTCCTGAGACAGCCTCAGGAAGTCCTGATGACATGTGCCAGTGTGGTCGGGACACAGCTTAGTTTTATACATTTTAGGGAGATGTGAGACATCAGCCAACGTATGTAAGAAGTACAATGGTTGTGTCCAGAAAGGCAGGACAACTTGAAGCAAAGACAGGAAGGAGACTTGAAGCTGGAAGGAGCTTCTGGGTCACAGACAGGTGAGAGAGAGGAGTGCTTGCATTCTTTGAGTTTTTGATTAGCCTTTCCAAAGGAGGCAATCAGCAATGCATCTATCTCAGTGACAGGCAGGTTGTCCCTAAGCAGTTCCCAGCTTGGCTTTTCCCTTTAGCTTAGTGATTTAGGGGCCCAAGATTTATTTTCCTTTCACACACCAAAGAGACTAAAAATGTGAGTACATATACACACAGAGACACACTCCAAACTCTCTTCCTAGAAGGGCTTCCTTGTTCTTGTATTCATCCCCTTCATTCTGCTCCGGGATGAGCTTCCTGGCTTTCATTTACCAGAGCAAGCTTGACAGTGCTGTGGATAGAAAGCAGGCCCACCCTTTCTGTGTGTCTGTGTTCTATGTGATTTTTTGGGGATGTGTGTATGTTGTTGAGCTTTTTTTTTTTTTTTTTTTTTAATCTAGATTGTGTTTATGTCAGGAGGTTGCCTGAAATAAAACTGAAGCTTCATAGTTTAGCCTTTAGTTGTGTTTCATAGTTTAGCAGTTATGGATTCAGTTAATCTAGTACCTGTGATTTTATAAGGGAGTATAATAAATCTTTTCTCAGTTAATAGGAATTTTGTATAGTTGGTTAAGACGGAGATCAAAATGGGACACTCATTCACGTGGTAAGTAGATGCTTACCTTTAACCTCTGTTGTGTTTTGATTAAATCACTTGCTTTCTGCTTCTGTTTCTGTGCATTTGGAAAAGTTCACTGCTTTCTGGTTCCTGTGGATGATCTGAGAACACACTTGGGGATTCATGAGTTAATCACCCTCTGGCTGTATTTAACATGAGCTTACATGGAGTTTAAGGGTGTCTGGGCTCTCTATGCTGTTATCTGGGGTTGTCTGAGGAGGAAAAGAAGCAGATATGGTGGGATGATGAGACAGGTTAGCATGCAAGTGCAGTAAAGAATTCCATTTTGAATGTTTTCTAGTTAGAGTTTTCTGCAGGATGTTCTGTTTTCTAGGTAATTTGTAAGTTTTTACACTGCTTTATAAAAAGCTCTTTCCCCAATTGGTAGCTTTGAATTCTTCTTCAGTATTTATGGGAAGTCATATTCTTGAATTAGATGTTCTGTATTACCTTACTAAAAATGACTCTACCAGTAGTGAAGCCAACAAGGAAAAAGATCTGCTGCTGCTCTGGGTATTTTTTTTTTTTTTTTTTTAGGAGATGCTAATGACACACACTAGTGTAAATTTTTAAGTTTTAGATATATGCTATTTTCACACAAAATAAAACTACTGCAATCCAAGTTTAGAAGCAAATAATAGCCTTACATTGCTAAATTATATATATATGTGTACACACACGTACACATACACACAGATTTAGCAGAATATGGTAAGAGTCTCATATAAAAAACAAATACTTGGGGAATAAATTGTATTCTTTAGATATAGGCTAACAGAAGCTATTTAAAATTTTATAATTCCTTCTTGCCTGCCTGCATACTAATTATCTAATTCAGGCACAACATATATATTTTAGTATATTGCCCCAAATGTCTGAATCGAAAATTACAGACAAATTTGAAGTAGAAAATAAAAAGTAAAAATTCATATGGACAGTGACATTTATAAGACAAGAAAGTAAACAGTGCCCTATTTGCTTATCTTCTGACACCAAGAAAATCTATCACTGAGTCCTGACAAAAATCCCTTTATGAGAGAACCAGGCAATATGGTTCACACCTGTAATAATAGCTACATAGTACATTAAAGTTGGAGAACTGCTTCTGGTCAAAACACTAAGACCTGCCCGGGTTATGTAGCAAGACCCCATCTCAAAAATAAGTGGCTCTTTTTTTGACAGACTCTCGCTCTGTTGCCCAGGCTATAGTGCAGTGGCACAATCTCGGCTCACTACAACCTCCACCTCCCAGGTTCAAGCAATTCTCCTGCCTCAGCCTCCTGAGTAGCTGAGATTACAGGCAGGCACCACCATGTACAGCTATTTTGTATATTTTTAAATTAATTTATTAACTTTAGATGCATACTATATCTGGCATTTCTCCCCATGTTATCCCTCCCACCCTCCCCTTTCTCCCCACCCTGCACTGTCTCTCCCTACCCCCCTCAACTGCCCCCAGTGTGTGATGCTCCTTTCCCTGAGTCCACGTGTTCTTGTTAAACATCCATCTATGAGTGAGAACTACAGTGTTTGGCTTTCTGTTCTTGTGTTAGTTTGCTGAGAATGATGGTTTCCAGATTCATCCAAGTCCCTCCAAAGGACACAAACTCATTTTTAATGGTTGCGTAGTATTTCATGGTGTATATGTACCACATTTTCTTTGTCCAGTGTATCATTGATGGGCATCTGGGTTGATTCTATGGAAGTCTAGTATTTCTCTTTTTTTTTTTTGAGACAGTTTCCAGTCAACACTCAGAAACAGGTTGTTCAGTTTCCAAGTGGTTGTGTGGGTTTGTGTGCGTTTCTTGATCCTGAGTCCTAGTCTGACTGCGCTGTGGTCTGATAGACTGTTTGTTATGATTTCTGTTCTTTTGGATTTGCTGAGGAGTGATTTGCTTCCAATGATGTGGTCAATTTTAGAGTATGTGCAATGTGGTGCTGAGAAAAATGTATATTCTGTGGATTTGGGGTGGAGAGTTCTATATATGTGTATTAGGTCCACTTGGTCCAGCTCTGCATCCAAGTCCTGGATATCCTTGTTAATTTTCTGTCTCATTCATCTAATATTCTAAATCTCGTTTTAGGTCATTAAGAACTTGCTTTATGTTCTTAATATAAATCACAGGTGCTCCTGTGTTGGGGGCGTATGTGTTTAGGATACTTAGCTCTTCCTGTTGGATTGATACTTTTACCATTACGTAGTGTCCTTCTCTCTTTTGATCTTTGTTGGTTTGAAGTCCATTTTATCAGAGACTAGGATTGCAACCCCTGCTTTTTTTTGTTCTCCATTTCCTTGGTAAATCTTCTTCCATCCCTTTATTTTGAGTCTATGTGTGTCTTTGTATGTGAGATGGGTTTCCTGAATACAGCACACTGATGGGTTCTGACTTTTTATCCAGTTTGCCAGTCTGTCTTATGATTGGGGTGTTTAGGCCATTTACATTCAATGTTAATATTGTTATGTGTGGATTTGATTCTGCCATTTTGTTACTGACTGGTTTTCTTTCCCATTAGTTGCCTCATTTTCTTCATTGTGTTTTTGGTCTTTGCCAACTGGTTTGCTTTTGCAGTGACCGGTACTTGTTTCTTTCCATGCTTAGTGTTTCTTTCAGGAGCTCTTGTAGGGCAGGTCTGGTGGTGACAGGTCTCTTAATAATTGCTTGTCCATAAAGGATTTTATTTCTCCTTCACTTTCAAAGCTTAGTTTGGCTGGATATAGATTCTGAGTTGAAAGTTATTTTCTTTAAGGATGTTGAATATTGGCCCCCAATCTCTTCTGGCTTGTAGGGTTTCTGCAGAGAGATCTGCTGTGAGTCTAATTGGCTTTCCTCTGTGGGTGACCTGGCCTTTCTCTCTGGCTGCCCTTAGCATTTTTTCCTTCATTTCAACCCTGGTGAATATGATGATTATGTGCCTTGGGGTTGCTCTTCTTAAGGAATATCTTTGGGGAGTTCTCTGTATTTCTTGAATTTGAAATTTGGACTGCCTTGCTAGGCTTGGGAAGTTCTCCTGGATAATATCCTGGAACATGTTTTCCAGCTTGGATTCATTCTCCCCATCATATTCAGGTACACTGATCAAGCATAGATAAGGTCTTTTCACATGATCCCATATTTTTTGGAGGCTTTGTTCATCTCTTTTCACTCTTTTTTCTCTTGTCTTGCCTTCTCTTTTTATTTCATTGAGTTGATCTTCAATCTCTGATATCCTTTCTTCTCCTTGATCGATCTGGCTATTTAAACTTGTGTATGCTTCATGTAGTTCTTGTGCTGTGTTTTTCAACTCCATCAAGTCGTTTATGTTCTTCTCTATCCTGGTTATTCCAATTAGCATTTTGTCTAACTTTTTCCCAAGGTTTTTGGTTACTTTGCATTGAGTTAGAACATGTTCCTTTAGCTCAGAAATGTTTGTTATTAGCCACCTTCTGAAGCCTGCATCTGTCAATTCATTGCACTCCTTGGTTAAGTTGTGATCCTGTGTTGAGAAGTTTTGATGCCTTGAAGGAGAAGAGGTGTTCTGGTCTTTGATGGTTTCATCTTTTTTGTGCTTGTTTTTTTCCATCTTTGTGGATTTACCTGGCTGTGGTGTCTGGGAGCTGCTTGATGAGGTTGCTTGTCTGCCCAGGAAGGCCAGGTTTCTGTAGTTCTCTAACATCACATTCCTATATAAATTTTGCTGTGCGGTGTCCAGGCATTGGCACTCCTCCAGGGAAAATTCTATGGCCACATCCCTAAATGTCAACCTTTCAATTTCTAGGCTTCCAGGGGATCCTGGCATCTTAGCTGTGGATCTCCAATACCTGCAGGTCACAGGGCCACACAAGGTAGGCAACTAGGAGAACAGGACACAGAGAAGTGAAGACGAGACCTGGAGCTGTGGCTACAGGGAAAGACCACTGCTCTGGGTATCTAAAAGATCACTTCATCTTGGTACTTACGGGACTGCCTCATTCTTTGTGATGTCTGTAGAGCACCACTCCACTGACTAAATGTAACATGCTTTAGTTGTCCCCGCCACTTTTCCTGTTATATCTATGCTGAAGTACATAATACTTACATGTAAATACATCATCTTCCACATTTCCAAATTGTTCTCCATTAACATTTTATCGGTATATATTTCCACCAACAAGGTTTTAGTGTATCTGTTTTCTTATACACTCAACAGTGCAGAGTGCTACTAGAGTTTATCTGATTGGTGAAAATGTTATTTTCTTCTGATTTTTAACTTATTATATCTCTTATTACAGAGTTTGGGCATCTTTTCATGTGAATGAGTCATTTGTAATTCTTTTTCTGAGAGCTTACTGTTCGTATATGCTACCTATTTTTACTATTATATGGTTACTGTTTTATTATTGATATGTAGGAGCTTTAGATATATTAAGCAAATTAGCTCTTGGCGATATGACTTATACTGTTGCTTTTAAGTTTGTTGTTTGTCCGTTGATGTTGCTTACCATGTTTTGCCATGAGGGAATTTTTTATATTGATGTAATGGAATTACATCTAATTTTTAAAAATTGCTTTCAAATTTTGTGTTACACTCAAAACATTTCAGATATTACGTTTATCATATTCTGAATACCCGCCTCAGCCTCTCAAAGTGCTAGGATTACAGATCCAACAGTGGCTAGAGCCACTGCACCCAGCTACTCAAGGCAAATATTGAGCCAATGTACTTGGCCATCCAAGGTTCCACCCTGGGTAGGGAAGCTCTGAGCACTGGCATCAGAGGGAGCATGGTTTCTCGGCTGAACTCTGGGATAGACACATTTTCTGATGGGCAGAGCATTTCAAGGCTTCTTACTCACATCTTCTACAACTCCAAGTCTTGGGATGCCTCAAACCCATAATCTACATGGGCCAGCCATCATTGAGCAGGAAGTGTGGGACAGACAGGCCAGGGTGGGCACGCAAGAGGAAGGAGACCCAGACTTTGCCTCAAGGAGATCACATTCAAGCGGGGACAGAATTACTCCAGATTATGGCAGATTAAAGGACCAAAGCCTCTGATTTTCTTCCTTCCTTTATTTCTTTCTCTGTCCCTCTCTCTTTCTTCTCTCTTTCTCGTTCTCTCTCTTCCTCTCTTCTTCTTTCTTTTTTTCAAGATAGAGTTTCACTCTTGTTGTCCAGACTGGTGTGCAATGGCCTCAGGTGATCCACCCACATAGGCCTCCCAAATGCTGGGATTATATGTGTGAGCCACTGGATCTTGCCACCTCCAATTTTCACAGAAGGAGGCACAGAGAAGTTTGGCACCCAACAGAAATGAGTTCAAATATCAGTTTCCCTAGTTCTTGGCTCAAGCTTTTCTGGTTCTCAGTGACTTATTGAGAGGGGTCTGTGGTGACAAAATCATGGCAGGCAGGTTGACACTCCCCTGTAATCTCAGCAACTCAGGAGGTTGAGGTGGGAGGATTGCTTGAGGGCCTACCTGGGAAACATAGGGAGACCCCAACTTAAAAAAAAAAAAAGCCAGGCATGGTGGCTCATGCCTGTAATCCTAGCACTTTGGGATCCCAAGGCAGGTGGATCACTGGAGGTCAGGAGTTCGAGACCATCCTGGTCAACATGGTGAAACCCCATCCCTACTAAAAATATAAAAATTAGCCAGGCTTGGTGGTGCATGCCTGTAGTCCCAGCTACTTGGGAGGTTGAGGCAGAAGAATCACTTAAACCCAGGAGGTGGAGGTTGCAGTGAGTTGAGATCACACCACAGCACTCCAGCCTGGGAGGCTCCACAGAGCAAGACTCCATCTCCAAAAAAATAGAGAGGAAGAGACATCAGCAAACATTGGTGATGAATGGGGTAGCGGTGCCACTGCCTGGCTAAAAAATATATATATGTATGTATGTACATGTATATATCTATATATATGCATATATTTATATATGTATATGTTTGTATTTTTAGTAGAAACTAGGTTTCTTCTT